GCATGCACACGTGCCTGGGGTGAGTTTAAACTGCTGGGTCCAGGACTCGAACCATGGTGGACTACATGGGAGTCCAGAGACAGCCATTACACCAACTGCTGGTCATACATCTCAGACCAGTTCAGATGAGAATACTGTACATGTTATCATCAACAGGAAATAAATGATTTCTATGTCCCACAAATGTCTTTTCTCTCCATTTTTTTCTCCCTGATTTCCTTCCCTATGCTCTTCCCTTCTCCAGCCCTCCTTCCACGTTGTCTCCAGTGTCCACAACATTTTCACTGCTTTTATGTCCTCCAATCTTTCAATCTCTACCATAGAGTATGGATAGTCAGTGTACATTAAGTACATACAATATCTTTCTTTCATAGCCTCACTTGCTTCACTCAGCAATAATTCCTTCATATTTGACCATTTTCTATCAAATGCCAGAGTCTTGTATTTTTTTTTGGTGTGTGACTGAATAGAATTCCATAGAGTATATGTGCCATACTTTTTCAATCCATTCATCTGTTTGTGGACATTTGGGTTGGTTCCATGTCTTAAGAATTGTGAATAATGCCACAATAAACATAGATGTGCAAGTGCTTTTCCAACTGAGCATTCTCCTGTCCTTTGGGTAGATACCCAGGAGTGAGGCTGCTGGATCATCTGGTAGTTCTATTTGTAGGTCTTTGAGAAATCTCCATATTGTTTTTGTAAAGGTTATTTTTCTTTAATTGATGTACATGAGAACCCACAGACTACAGTACTCCTTTTCTTACTTTACACACCCATCTGAAAGCTTACTTTCATATGTTCAAGTAGACTGTGAATGAAGCCTTAAAGGTGCCAAATAAATGATGATTTAAAATATTATTTGAGGAAAGTTTTCTCTTTTTTTATCGTAAAATTATTTTATTTAACTTTATTTATTTATTTACTTATTTTCATTTGACCAGAGAGGGACAGAGAGAGAGAGAGAGAGAGAGAGGGAAAGTGAGAAAGCAAGTTGCTAGGCCTGGGGCTCAAACTGTGGTCAGCCATGTGGGAGTCCAGTGCTCTTAACCACTATGCCACCTGCCAGTCTAGGGAGAAAATTTCCTAAATAACTATTTAATACTACTGGGATTTTCCTGGTTAGCTTATCTTTTATGCATTTTTGTTAAGGGAAAACATGGTTTTAGAAAAATACATTTTCCTCATGCTGAAATGTTCCAAATTCAGATATTAGGGAGAATGATATGTGAGAATAATAAAAAAAATTGTTTGATAACTGACTCATATCTTTGGTTTATTATTAATGAAAACACTCTAAAGAGAGAATCCTATTATCACAAATTCTAGAACAATTATAGATTTATAAGAAAATTGCAATGATTGCACAGAGTTTGCATATACCCCACGCCTAGTTTCCCTTACTAGTAAAATGTTACAGTGTTACAATATATTTGTCACGATTAATAAACCAGTTGTTATTCCAATATTGATATATTATTATTGTTAGTTACAGGCCGTGCTTTATTCAGATTTTCTAAATTTTTACCAAATATCTTTTTTTCTATCCCAGGAAATACTGGTCAGATATTTTGTAGAATGTCCCTCCACTGGGATTTATCAGAAATGTTTCTCATGATTAATCAGGAGTTATGGGTTTGGGAGAAAGACCCCAGGACTAATGTGGCATTCTCATAACACTAAGTGTGCAGGTTTAGAGTGCACTCTATTAACATGACTTCACACAGGTTAACACGACCTACTGACATGAACTTATCACTGTTGATGTTGACCTTGATCACCCAGCTGAAGTAGAGTATGGCAGATTTCTCCACCTTAAATAAGAAACTCCTTGCCATCCTCCCTGGGACTTTTTATTGGCTTAAACAAAGAACCTTTGAACCCAAGTAGGAGAATAGCTTCATGTTATTGATTCTTACAAATGTCACTGGAATGCTTTTTAACACTAGTAATTTTTCAAGATATACCAAAAAAACCCATATGATTTTAATTCATGTGCATTGTTCAATAAGATAGTTGAAAATCTATTTTTAGCAAGTCATAAAATATGTATTCAAATAATTACTAGTATTTATCTTATTTCATGGTATAGAATGTTTAATAACTTCTATCTCCTGCTAAGATAAATAATACTATACATTGACTGCCGGACTGGTGAATTTTTAGCAGCATGTACCTTTTTCCTTAAATAAATTCAGAGGAAAATTCTGTGTTTATTATTGAAGATCACCATATCTGATGAAATTAATGAAAAACTTAATTCTTTATCATTCCAAAATAATAAAAAACAAAGCTGATTCATGTGTACAATTCCTTTACCAAAGAAAAGCCTTGTGTGTTTTTATAATACTCATTTCATTAAAAATTTATCATTTTAATTAACCATTGCATTACGTTATTACTAAATAACTGTTGAGAAACGATATATTATTATCTTGTTTTTTAATAACTGATTATAAAATGTATGAAATAATTATATTAATTCTATATTATTTTAATCTGCAGAAGCAAGTCATCTATCTTGAAAAATATATACAGCAATATGGGACCAGCAGTTAGCGTAATGGCTATGTCGTTGGACTCCCATGTAGTCAACTGCAGTTCAAGTCCCGGACTCGGTGGCTTAAACTCACACTGGGCTCATGTGTGTGCGTGCCCAAGATCCTGAGAGGAGAATGGAGGGGAAGGGATTGCGGCGTGGCCATCTATATATATATATATATATATATATATATATATATATATATATATATATATATATATATATATATATATATATATATATATATATATATATATATATATATATATATATATATATATATATATATATATATATATATATATATATATATACATACACACACACAACAATTTATTTCTCAGTATTTTAAAATACATATGAAAGCACAATTTCAAAATGAAGGCACTTTGTTTTTGAAAGCAATAAAGCAGTGGCAATAAAGCAGTGAAGTCTGACTTTGCTGATTAAACTGACTTTTATATTATCATAACTTGTCAGTTAGATTGTATGGAGAAACTTCCTCCATATATTGATGAGCTAATAAATGCAGTTATGCAGTACTAATAAAATGCATAAAAACTGATGATGAGTGGGGAAATTAAATAAAAGGTATATGAAATCTTGTACTGTTTCTTACAACTACATGTGACTCTAAACTATCTCAAAGTAAGTTTAATTTAAAGAAAAAAAAGCATGGTTAGACAAAAGCATTTTACCATACATACTTTATTGACAAATGTGTAATGAACTTAAAAAGAATTGCTTTTTCAAATTTCTTTCTGAATATATCTGATTAAATCAAATGCCTCTAAGTAAAAGAATAGCAAGTACAATTTACCTTCAGATAAGTCTTGTTAAAACTTTTTTGGTATATGTCTTAGAAATTGAGAAAATATATAATTCCAATAACAGACAACAAGTTGTTTTGAAAATTGGGGAATTTCTAGTTTACTTTCAGTAAGTTGAGTTGTTAATGATAAATTATTAACATATTTCTTATGATACATTGTTACATGACTTCTTGACTCTAAACTCAGAAGAAATGCAGAGTTCAGTAGATGTTCTTTCATTCCTATCTACTCAGGTATTAAAAAAAAAGACTTCTTAGTACATTTATATGACAACTAAAATAATCTGATTAGTGGTCTATATTTACTATAACTTAATCTAGAAATAAGTAACATTTACCCATGGATAAAGAATTTATTTGAGGCCTGTTTAATAGTTGCTGTTGCTGCACTTCCGCTTCTCTCCCAGCGAGAGAGACACGAGTGGCCAGGCCCAGTCGCAGCCGCTGCGGCGGTACGGAGTCAGCATGAGTAAAAACTCCAAACTCCCCTCCACCAGCGCCAAGAGGATTCAGAAGGAGCTGGCGGACATCACTTTAGACCCTCCACCCAACTGCAGCGCTGGTCCCAAAGGCCATAACATCTACGAATGGCGGTCCACCATCCTCGGGCCTCCAGGGTCCGTGTATGAAGGTGGTGTGTTCTTCCTCGATATCACTTTTACACCAGAGTATCCCTTCAAGCCTCCAAAGGTCACATTTCGGACAAGAATCTATCACTGTAATATTAACAGTCAAGGGATCATTTGCTTGGACATCCTGAAACACAACTGGAGTCCAGCACTAACCATTTCTAAGGTCCTCCTTTCTATCTGCTCGCTCCTCACAGACTGCAACCCTGCTGACCCTTTGGTGGGAAGCATTGCCACTCAGAACATGACCAACAGAGTAGAACATGATCGAATGGCCAGACAGGGGACCAAGAGATACGCGACATAAGCGGGTGTGGACAGTGCTTGCGTTACCTGTCTGTCACAGAAGAGAGCTGCTTACAATTCTGAAGGGGCGGGGGAGGGTGGGAGTTGGTAAAGAGTAGGGTATTTCTATAACAGATATTATTCCGTCTTATTTCCTAAGATGTTGTTGGAACTTAAGGTATCTTGCTACAGTAGACGGAATTGGTAATAGCAACTTTTGAAACTGTCTGTTCTGCCATATTAGGTGAAACGCAGTACTGAAAAGAACGTACACTTAGACATGGGGCTCAACTGCTGTGTCTGTCAATTTCAAACAGCTTAATTTTGTACAGGTTACACACATGGCCGCTTACGTAAAATCCCTCTAGGACGACATACTTTTTGTTTTGTTTTCTAAAAATTGGAATTTGTTTTCCCTTCTTGGAAGGGAAACGTTGATATTTAACAGAGTTTTTAGTGACTGTCATCTCAGATACATGAAACGGACACATGGCTATAAGTAATCATGTAGAAAATAAGTAGCTAACGTATTTTATTTTATATGCCGATCTACTTTATTGTACCAAGTTGAAAGGTTTGGATCCAAACTTGTGCAAACCTGTAGTGAAATACCTTAAGCTGTTAACTGTCAGCGTGGAATAGAAGTCGCTCAGTGGATGGTTCTACGTTGTGGACTACTTCGGTCTGCATTTGTTACTGTGCTAATAAACCACATTAAAAACAGCAAAAAAAAAAAAAAAGAATTTATTTGACAAAATGAATGTGTCCTTGTTCATTGTAACTTTCCTAATTCCCTTTTTTTTAAAAAAGATTTTTGCCATAGGGTACAAGTACTTGTTGGAGAGAGAAACAGAAAGTGAAAAATCTCTCTCCAGGGGGATGACCACATTTCAATCTCCTCTCTTTTATTCTCTTCTCAGGATTTTGGGTATGCATGCACATGCACATGGCATGTTTTTCAAGCCCACAGGTCCAGGACTTGATTATCAGAGTTGGCCATGTGGAATCCAGCACCTTAACCATCGTGCCATCTGCTGGTCCAATGGTCCTAATTCTTATTAAGAGAAGAACTTTTGGCCAGGTGCAGAGCACAACACTAATGCAATTGCCCATAGTGCTGAAGCCACAGGAGAAGGTTCCAGGTTCACTTCTGGAAGTAACCTTGTACACACTAGGCATGTGTACACACATACCCATGATATTGGTTACTTGAGGGTAGGAGTGAATTGAAACATGAGGACCCTCTCAGGGGGCCTTTTATCTCTCTCTCTCTCTTTCTCAGAAAAAATATTTTAAAATAAGCTTAAACAAAGAGAAGAATTTTAAATAAAAGATTAGTCTATGTTTAATCGTTATTTTTAAAAATTTTAAATATATCTGTGGATACAAAGTTTGAACGTATAAAAATTATTTTAGTCACTTGAATGTTAATAATAAATTATAATAGTTATTCCATGTAGAAGAAAATTTTAACACTTAGAGCCTTATGCTCATGGAAAATATAAAAATTACATTAAACTTTAGTTTATATACATATTTTCATTGCAGAGAAATGTGTGAGGGTGATAAAAATCTTATGAGTACAAAAATATATTATAAAATTCAGTTGCGGGGGTGAGTGTGAAGGGAGTGGACTGGAAGTACAGGTTCAAAGAGAAAAAGATGTAAAATTTAAATTTAAGAAGCATTTTTAAATGTATATTTAAAATGGATGGTGGGGTATTAAAAGTATATGATATTTAAATTCACTGGTTACATTTTTTTTAAAAGTGACATATAAAAATATATGTCAAAAAGTATATCACACTTAAACTTACAGGGAGAAATTTAGGTGTTACCTTAAAAAATGTGTGGTGAGCACATAGTTTTTCAAAACTATTTTTAGAGACTATGCAAGCAAAATAGAAGATTAGGCAACACTGTAATCACTGTCTTCCAAACACCGTGAAGTCTTTCGTCCCTCTCTCCTGGTAGAGTACTCATCAGGCAACCAACTCTGGTTAAATCAAATATCTACTGACCCCATAGCTATACATAAGCAGCAGCATTAGCTGTAGAGAAACATGAGATCAGGCTAGCTTGGTTTCAAGTACAGTCTATGATACAGCTCTGAGAAGGCCATACCACACTGCCTAGCAATTCTCAAGTCTTCCCTGGCATGTTCAGCTTCTCACTTCCAAACGATTATTTCACACCTTCTTGTCTTCCTCAAAATGCCTATACCACTTCTTCCACATCTCAGATCACAAGCTGCAACTTCACCCTATAATTCCTTGAGAAAGTAGTTGAAATAAGAACTTTCTCATCTTCCTTCCAGAAACCTCCATTTGTATTCAAAGTCTTCCTTCTTTCTTATGAATGAAGTTATTTCTTTAGAATACCAACACTTTCTCTTATGCTCTGGGTTCATTCTTTCAGTTTCTTGAGAGATTGTCCACATGGGCATCCTCTCTCACCTATGTCATCACTGATGTTCCTCTATATACCATCGATCTCATCAATTTAGTAACCTGCTTTCATATATTCTGTCTTTAAAAAAGTCCTTCCTTGGAGAGTTGTCTGTTCAGCTCACCTGCCCATCTTTTAATTGGATTGATTATTTTTGGGAGGTGATAAGCTGTTTAAGTTCCCTGTTAATTCTCATTATCAGTCCCTTATCTGAAGAATAGTTTTTTTATCTGAGGGATAAATTCTCCCATTCTGAAGGTTGTCTCTTCACCCTAATTATTGTTTCTTTTACTGTGAGGAAGCTTTTAGCCTGATGTAGTTCCACCTGTCTTTTTTTGGCATTATCGTTTGTGTTTTGGTGTTCTGATTTAAACAGTCTTCGCCTACCCTAATATCTGTAAAAGTTTTCCACATATGAAAAAATGTTTGCCATCTCTTATCATAAAGGAAATGCAAACCACAAGTAAATAACACCCCCAGTCAGAATGGCTAAGATTAAAAAAAAAGATAAATAAAACAATGATAAGTGCTGGCAGGCTGCAGTGAAAGGGGACACTTCTACACTATTAATGGGAATATAAATCAGTAGGACCTCTGTGGAAAACAATATGCATGTTCCTCAGAAACCTACAAGTAGAACTAACATATGACTCAGTAATTCTACTCTTAGGTATCCACCCAATGAATAGGAAAATCCTCAGTTAGCAAAGCACTTGCACATCCATGTTTATTGCAGCATTATTCACTATTGCTATGACATGGGATCAACCCAATGTCCAAGAACAGATGAGTGGATTGAAAAAAAATGTAGCACATGAACTCTATGGAATTCTACTCAGCCATAAAAAAACAGTAAGACCCTGACATTTGATATAAAGTGGATAAATATGGAAAATTTAATACAAAGTGAAGTAAATAAGACTATGCAAGACAGACATCATCTGTCTTCACTTAATAAATACTGAATATATCCTAAAGCAGAAACTGAAAGATTATAAAGTATAATAGCAGGGAGGCCAATTGTAGATACTGGAGACAGTACAGAAGTGGATAGGTAACAGAGGGTGGGAGGAAGGGGATCAGGAAAAAATATCTAATAGACACAAAGATAAAAAGTTATTTGTTGATGATAATATTTGTTTTTTTATTAATTGTATTCATTTTTATTTATTTATTTTAATCTGGTCAGAGAAAGAGGGAAATAAGAAAGCAAGCCTTCAGGTCCAGGACTCAAAACACAGTTGGCCATATGGGAGTCCAGCATCCTAACCACCACACCACCTGCTGGACCCTAATTTTTAAATTATACATACATTTTCTTTAAAAATATACATTTTTTTAATTGCTAGAGGGTATTTGCTTGCCCTTTACAGAGAGAAACCAAGAAAAAGAAAAGAAAGCCCCTTCCAGTGATGCATGCTCATGTCTCATCCCTTTTCCATTTTCCACCCTATTGGGAGTTGGGGCATGCACATGGACCTGGCAAGTTTTTTTAAGACACTAGGGCTGAGGTCCAAACTACTGTGGGCTGGATGAAATCTAGTTCCCTTAACCACTAGCTCATTGGGCTAGCCCACAAACAATACATTTTCTTTTTAAATTTTTTTCACATTCTTTTTTAAACAATAATTATTTTACCTAATGCCATTCATCACCATCACTATTACTTTTAAAATCTGGCCAGAGAGATACAAAAAAGGCCAGAAAACAAACGGCCAGGTTTGGGACTCACACTGTGGTCAGCCAAAGGGAGTCCAGCACCCGAACCAGCACGTTACCCACCGGTCCCCAGACAATATGTTTTCAATGTAGGAAAAAGAGAAGATTCAGGTAAGCAATGGTCCTATCTATAGTCTTCCAGGTTTGTTCCTACATATATGTATATTGTTATAATCATTCCTGTCCCTAAAAACCAACAAAAGTAAAACAGTAAAAATAAAGTTGGGTGGGCCTTGACTACAGCACAAGCGCTAATTTATATTATATACAAATCTACATGCATTCCATTTCCACTCTTGAAATGTAAACCAATGCTGTTAAAATAATACTTAAAGATTCCACTTTAAGCAGCAGCAGTTTCAAAAGTACACAGAACCTGATTCAGGCGTGCTGCTGGTAAAGAGCCAAGTACTACTTTTTTCATTAATGCAAGCCCCCATCTACCATCGTGTCCTTCGAAGAGAAGAATATTTTGCTGCATTGCCACAAGATCTTCACGTATATAGTTAGTTTTTGGCAAACTCTTCATTCATTCTGGTGTTCTTGAAAATATTCATCAAACATAGAGGAAGACTCCTCTTCATGTTCCTTTGGTTCTTTGAACTCCAAGTCTTCTCCGTACTGAATGGCGAAATCGATGTGCTGTAGCATAATGTTCATGCTTTCTTCATCTGACTGATCATAAGGTAAGAAGCGAACCATGCTGTAGTCATCAATCAGTCCACATACAGCTTTAGTCAATTTTTTCAATTTTTTGCTTCTTAAGTCACTTGTAGAATCTTCTAACAAAGAATACATATCTGGATCTAGAAATTTCTCAATTTCCTTTTTGGCTTTCTTACTCAGCAGATCCATTTTTGTCATGATGTTAACTTGTGGAATTTCTAGAGAGATCATGGCACCCAGGGCTGCCAAGATGCCAGAAATGAACTTGAATGACTCCACCATGAACTGAGAATCAACAAGAAACACTCCACAGACTCGGAACTCCCACTGTTCTAGCTGCTGGACCAACTGTTTCATCACAGGAAGGTGAGTGTACAACTCAATCTGACCTGGACAGTCGAAAAGGATGTAGTCATCCTCTTCGTGACCCAGACAGTTCTCTAGCCAGTCAAAATTATTGGCAAAACACTCCATGCAAAATACCAACTCTCCATTGGGATCAAACCGCAAAGAATCATCCTCCATCACATCGTCTACCTTGTTCAGTTCCCAGATGTCAGCCATTACCAAGTAGTTGAAGTATTCTGCTGCTGGATCTAGGTTTACGACTTGGACAGACCGATTGAGGGCTTCACAGTGCTGAACCATGGTGGCACAGTAGGTGCTCTTCCCGCTGCCTGTGGGGCCCATGATCAGCTGCGTGTAACCTGATGATAATATTTGAAGTAATGCCTTTGACTTAACTAATGTGCACTGTATTCATGCTTGGAAAAGCCTTGTTGTATACTGTAAAGATGTACAGTGATTAAATATAAATTAAAAAATTATTTAAAAAGTTCTTTCTTCACTCCATTTTTCTGTCCTTCCCTTTCCTTCTCTCTACTTTCCTTTAAGGTTAAACTTTTTACTTTTTATTTTTTACATTCAATGACTATGTATCATTACAGCATGCTTATTTAATTAATGAATTTTCTCATCCTGAATACACTATATATTGGTTCAGTCAAAGATATTACCATACATATTATCATCAACAGATAATTTTCCATTTTCATGTCCCATCAATGTTTTGCTTCTTTCTTTTTCCCTTTGATTCCCTCCCTCTCACCCTCCCCCACTTCCCAGCCTCCTCGCACACTCTCTTTGGTATCCACAGTTGTTTTCCTTGCCTTCATATTACCAGTCTTTCCATTTCTGTCATAGAGTGCAGATATTCAGTATATATTGAGTGGGGACATACAATGCCTCTCTTTCATAGTCTGGCTTGCTTCACTTAACAGTAAATGGTTAAACTTTTGAAAATGGTTTTCTATAGACAAGTTTCACTTCCTTACCATTTGCGTTGTTTTTTTTTTTTCTTTTTTTTTTTAAATACTCAATAACTGTGTGGCATACCAAATGGATTTTTTTTTATCATAAATACACTGTATATTGGTTCGGTCAAATGTATTACCATACATATTTTCATCAACAGATAATTTTCCATTTTTGTATCCCTTAAATGTTTTGCTTTTTCACTCAGTCCACTCCAGATAGACTTTCTTCACACCACCCCACAGAGACTTCTTTTACAAAGGACAGCAATGACGTATCTACTGCCGAATCTAATGACCATGTTTCTGTTTTTATCTAATTGACCCACTGATTTCTTCCTCCTAGAAGAGCTTATTCTGCTGTCTGTGAAACACAGAAACTATCGTGACTGTGAAACTCCAGTCTCCTCGTTTTCCTACCATGTCACTGGCCACTCCTTCTCAATCTTTGCCTTTCTTCTATTCATATATTTTTTTCTATTATTGCCAGAGGGTGTGTGTACTGACAGATACACAAATACACACACACACGCACACACACACACACACACACACACACACACACACAGAGGAGACAAAGGAGAGGGAGAGGAGAAAACACCTCCTCAATGGAGTGTAATCACTTCACAATCCCCTCTCCTTTGTTTCTCCAGCCTGTCTGTATTTTGGGTGTGCACAAACACATGCCTGGCATTTTTTTCAAGCCACCAAGCCTGGGTTTGAACTACAGTCAGTCGCAAGGGATCTAGACTACAGGGTTGCCTCTTTTTTGTTCATCTTGACCTGTGAGCTTGGAATTACCTCTGGCTTAGTCTTAGTTTCTCATTTCTTTTCTTTCAATAGATTCCTTCTTTTGCTGATTTTTATCCTATGGTTGAAATATTATTTTTATGCTTAATGCTTCTCTAATCTATATGTCAAACTTGACTTCTTCCCAGAAGTGCCTATCTGGCTTCTTTATTTACATATCCAATTTAAAATCTAACATAGTCAACATAGGACTCTGGATTTCTATTACTTTCCACTCTAACTTCATTTATAATCTGTCCTATATTTCTATTTTCAGTTAATGGCATAATCATCCATACAATTCTGAAACCAAAACTAAGCAGTTAGCCTTGATTCTGCTCTTTGTCTTATTTCTCAAATGTAATACATAAAAAATTGTACATCTTCAAAATATATCTATAATTTGTCTTCTCTTACCTCATATGTCATCTCTCACCACCTCCTGAGAATTCTTAATTTGTCCTTTTGCTTGCACTTTCACTGGACAACGTTCCTTTTCTACTCAAAAATTTGAGTGATCAAAAAAAGAAACAACTTCTAAGGGCCAACAGGTGGTATAGTGGTTAAGGCACTAGAATCCCACAGGGCCGACCGCAACTCAAGTCCTGGGCCTGAAGACTTGAAACACACCAGGCACGTGTGTGTGCATGCCCAAAATCTCAAGAGAAGAATGGAGAAGAAGGGATTGTGGCATAGCCATGACAGGGGGTGAGTTCTCATTTTCTGTCTCTCTGTCTTTCTTTGTCTCTCCAGTGAGTGCACATGCCCTATAGCAAAAATCTCTCTAAAAGACAAAATAAAACAAAAACTTCTAATAATTTAGAATATGTCCTTTAACTACTTAAATGAATTTTAATTACATCTACAAATCCCTATAGAGTCCCACCCCTTTCTGTTATTCCTACTCATCTTGCACTAGTTTCTCTATGTCCTATACTCTTCAGCCATTTTGGATGCTTTCATTTCCTAGAACACATTAAACTCCCACCTTAAGGTCTTTCCTCTAGATGTTTCTTCTTTCTCAATTCTTGTTATTCTGGTCTTAACCAAAATGTCACTTTCTCAGAGAGTCCTTCTCTCACCTCTGAAATAAATTAGCCTCTCAGTTACTCACTATTATGTCATCCTCTTTAAAATTTTTTTAAATTTTAAAATAATTATAAACTCATAAGTTTTAAAAGTCACACAATGTGACTTGTGATGTTTGGTTGGAGTAGAGAGATTATTGTCTAAACAATTTTTGTCTTCGTAGGGTATTCTTTTTTCTTTCCTATGACTAGAGTAAACAAGCTTTTATTATTTATTTTTAAATTTTATTTATTTATTTTTTTCTTTTTGTATTAGCATTTCCAGGTGGCCAGCTTCTCCAGCACCCAGATTGGGATTTATGAAGTAAAAGAAAATTCAGGGGACACATGATCATGTCATTCTTTGAGTTCTGTGATCCATAGCTGGTCTGCCTTCTCCTTTCTGCCTCTCTGTCTCTTCATCTATCTGTTGTTTTATATATAATGTTCACAGATTTTAACTGTACTTAGCAGGAGAAATAGGAAGAAGTACATTTATGCTATCTTCCTGAGAGAAGTTAAGAGGTTCTACCATATCTTTTGGTTCTTACTATTGTGTATTTCAAAGTGTTAAGATATTCAATATGGTAACTTCTAATTTTTTTAAGAATATTTTACAATTTTCCAAAGGAATACTTTTTAAAAAATTTTATTTATTCACTCATTTATTTTTTAAATTTGACCAGAGAGAGAGAGGGAAAGTGAGAAAGCAAGCCATCGGGTCCAGGACTTGAACCATAATCGGCCATGTAGGAGTGTCCAGTGTTTTAATCCCCACACAACCCGCTGGTCCCCACAAGTGAATAGTTTTTTAAAAGTTATTTTATTATTGATTTCCAAATTAATTGCACTATGGTTAGAGAAATAACCTTTCTGATACTAATTTTTGAATATATTAAGAATTGCTTTATGATCTCAGAATTGGCCAATTTTAGGAAATGTTTCTTAAAAATATTAAGAAGGATGTATATTCTCATTGGTCAGATGTCCATGAGATTAAGCAAGTTTGTTAATTGAATTTGAAAGTCAAATCTTACATATTCTTACTAAAATTTTATTGTGTTCAATTTTTTAAAAATGAGCCTTAAAAATCTCCTATAATGGCATATTGTCAATTTATTGTGCTAGACATTGTGATTTTAGCCTTTACATATTTATGATCATGCTATTTGGTATGTATAAAATTATCCTGGTGAATTTTCACTTGTTATCACTGTACAGTGACTACTTTATCTCTAATAATTATTTTGCCTTACATTCTATTTTCTTATCTGCACCATGACTGGATTAATACAATTTTTTCCACTCTTACCACTCAAACTATTTTTTAACCATGTACTACAGTGATAGTAGATATATTCACATTGTTTTGCTACCATAACCACCATACTTCAGGCTTTGCAGGCCATATGCTATACAGTGTCTATAACAGTTCTTCAGTTCTGCTGTTGTAGCACAAAGCAGCCATAGACAATTTGTAAACTGATAGACCTGGCTGTGTTCCAAAATATTGTAAAAAAAAATTGTAAATATTGTAAATTTGTAAATATTATAGAAGCAGACAGTGGACCAGATTTGGACAACTCTTGATATGATATATGACCTGTAGCCCTTGAAGAAGCCAGATACTATGTTGGGCAGTGGTTGAATCTTGAAACTACCTAAAGGGAAGCTTCACCTCGAATTGTTAGGATCAACTTATTTGCCTTGTTTCTTTGATCTGTCTCAGTTCTTAAATCTTTTGTTATCCTCACAATATGATAGCTGACTTTCCCCAGAGCTGTCTGAGAGAAAGAGCACAAAGAGAAAGACATAATGCCTTTTATAACCTGTTGTCAGTCAGACGCAGTCACTTCTGACATTCTATTCACTTGAAGTAATTCATTGACTCTGGTCCATACTCAAAGTGAGGTTATTGGGTGCCATGATTTTTTTTTTAAGTTTATTTTTTTATTCGTGAGAAAGCGAATATGTGTGTGTGTGCACATATGCTTTCACACACATGTGGGAGAAAGAGAGAGATACCCTCAATAGAGTTGTCACACTGTGGTCTCCTTCCTCCAGCCCTCAGCTCCTCAGGATCTTAGGTGTGTGCCTATATGTTTCCAGCTTGACTAAAAATCTTAGTCCGTGATAGGCCATATGGCTTCTAGCACTGCAGATCAGTATTCTACTACCTTCTTAACCATGGCTGGACTGGGCTCCATCTTTTGATAAGGAATTGCCAAGGAATCTGTGGGTATATTTTGAAGCTACTACCAATCTGTTGTAACATGTTGTTTTGATTGACATGTATTAAGAAATATCAGCGTGATACAGATAAATGTTGGACAGGAAAATTTTAATAGCCTTTTCAGAAAATTGTGGATATTCTTAGATACTACATCAAATGGTGGTTTCTTGAAACTGAGTTGCATTGTGGAGTCTGAAATCATATTGGTGAACTTTTAAAATTCTGTTACATTAAAATTTTGGGTCTATCTTGCAATTTGAATGGATCTTTTACCCATGTATGATTTTATAACATTATGCATTCGTCAGTCATATGGGATACAGTATTGATTCACTAAGTTCTGTGGATCTTCCAAATGGTACATATTTCATTATATAACATAAAATACTGTATTTGTTAATATCACTACTAATCTTATCAGAACAGTTTTTGAGTATTGGGCAACTGTCAAGCATCTAGTGCCAGACACAATTTTTCTAAAATTCTACTAATTTTAACTTGAAATCTCTACTTTTATCATTGACAATGGATATTATCAGTTGTTTTCCTCAAAGTGATAGTCAGTTTCACTTGGTTCATTTTTTTTTTTTTTTTCAGAGAGGTTTTTGCTATAGGGCACATGCACTTGCCAGACAGAGAGAGACAGAGAGACAGAAAGTGGGAAGCAACTCCCAAGGGGGATGGCCATGCCACAATCCCTTCTCCTCCATGCTCCTCTAGGGATCTTGGGCACGCATGCACACGCACCCGGTGTGAGTTTTAAGCCACAGGGT